GGGCAGAGTCAGCAGGTGGATGGGGATGGGTGGGAAGACTCTCTCCATGTTGACAGTGGGACAGGTCTCGACACTTAAAGGTGATTTGCTTAGCTTCAAGTGGATCCCAGAATAACCTCAAACTTCAATGCTCCTCTGTGTGTCAGGACCTGGGGAGTGGTGTGCAAGTCTCTGGCCTGAGGGACAGTTTGGTGGCAAGAGGTGGCCATCCTTCAGCTGTTCTTTCCCTGTGCTCCCAGAATGTTTGTCATCTTCCTCTCAATGCCCTGAGACCCAGTACAGTCTTGGGTACAGCAAGTCACCCAAACATCCTTCCAGCTGCTCAGTGGAAGGATGGAGCTTATACCTACCTGAAACCTTGGTGGCATTTGCGAAAAAATAAAATGAAGCTATGGCCAAAGGCAGCTGACCTTGATTTCTCTTCTAGGTTCTCTCTTCCCAACCCTGGAAACTCACTTTGCTATCTGGGACAAGGACTCTAACATCTCTGAGCCTCACCTCTAGTCCCCAGCAGGTGCAATAGCATGGGATTCAGGTCTAGGTTTAAGTCCCACCTCGGTCACTGATCAGCTGAGTGGCCAGGGCTGCAGCATCTCACCTCTGTGGGTCCGAGCCTTATTTTCCTCATTTTGTCCAGTAGCTGCAGATACAAAGTCTTTGCTCTCACAGAGCTCATATTCTGGTGGAGATAAGCATAATAAACAATTAAGATTACTGCAGGTGAAAGCAAGTATTACATAGGAAATAAACAGGTTGGTATAAAAAAGAGTAGTGGGGGAGATCGACTTTTTCAAGGGTGACCAGGGGAAGCCCCCTGATGGAGGTGATGCTGAAGCTAAGACTAAAAGAGGAGAAAGGCCATCTATGTGAAGCACCGAGGCCAAAGCTCCTCTGGGGGGAAAGGCTTTGGGTGTTCACGCAGCAGAAGAGAGGAGCGTGGCTGTCCCTGTGGATGGGAGCGAGGAAGGGACAGCGTGAGATGAGATGGAGCAGCGGGTGAGAAGCAGAACCACGGGAAGCCTGGACAGGCTTCACCAAGAGGTCCATGATCTTGACACTGCAGGTGCAGATGAGGAGCAGACTGGGGAGAGATGCAGTTGCAGGTTGTTCCCAGGCCCAGGGGAGAGGAGATGGCAACGGAGCAGGAGAGCCACCAGCAGACGCATTAGCACGTCTGCCCGTAGTAGAGTCGGTCACGCTGCAGCTGCATTACGGGCTTCTGAAGTCAGCACCCTTGTCCCATCTGTTTACCATGCACACATCGTAGAGCACCTACTGTGTGCTCAGCATTGACCTTTACTTTTAGTCCTGCTCTAGTTAATATTTCCATTTTGTCAATGAAGAAACCTCGAGAGGTTGATTTTCATATCAAAATCTGGCCAATGCCATAGCCAATGGTCTTGTCTCTACAACCCTACACGGATAAGTGCTCCTAAATGTGTACTGGATGGGCAAGAAGCAAGGTGCCAAGTGGTATAACGTACAGAGGACAGGACAGTCTGTGAGCCAAAAAGAGCCTCTCTTTCTGTGGACACCAGTAGAATTTTTGCCCTGTAG